GTGGCCACACTTGCGGGCTAGGTGTCTCAGCCGCTTGGGTTAAGGGGCGATGGTGGAATCTGGTAGAAGTGCTAGCAACGTCCGCAGGCACTCGGTGCACAGCAGCGCATGCCTGCGTCGGCATGCCGGGACAGAGAGAGAGAGAGAGAGAGCGAGTCCAAAGGCAGCACTTGTGGTCGCATGCTTCAGGGCTTTCAGGGGCACGAAGTCTTTGCACAGTTCCAGGCCACACATCCGAATGCTCAAGCTGCGAGCCTTGCTGCACTGCGCGAAGCATTAATCCCCTTATAATTACGCTTAGAGGCTTAGACCGGATATCCAGTGAATCCGCTGCCAGCTGAGAGGTGATTTCACATCTGCAGCATCACTCGCGACCTGGCTGTCACATGTTTGGCCCTCTTTGTTAAGCACCAATTGCATGGCCGGGGGTCTGCATATGTCTAAGATACAACACAAGATGAAAACCAATACAGGATGTGAGCCCTTATCCCCATCGGAGGTCGCTTGGTTTGAAAACTGACAATTCATGTGCAACCTGCTCGGCCCAGAGAGAATTGTGCTTCATGCAGGTCAGAGCCGCAGCAGATTCCGAGGGGCAGCGAGCGGGCCCGGACCTATGCTTCTGGATTTGACTGATTCTCGAATGTTACATGTTATACTTACATGACTAAGACTACTCCTTAGGGCTCTCACCGCATTGAGCCATGCGGAAGAGATGATGGTCACAACACACTGCCCACAGGATCAAGGAGTGGAAGCAGACAGCAGTGCTTCCATCCGACCACAGCATGTCGCGAATGGCTGCTTGACAAGCAGGGAATGGGTGGTAATGGTGAAGATTGGATGGCTTTCGGGACGCGCGGCGATGGGGTGATGGGGCTTCGAGCGCGGTCGGTGCAGTAGTTTGCTGTCCTGCTACCGGCAGTACCGCATGATGGCACACGTCCTCCGCAGCTCCAAGGTGCCCGGAATTTCGCAAAGATGCTCGCGACAGACAAGCCTTTGTGGAGGGTTGCCAGAACAACGGTTGCAAGGATGGCGGCAGAATTTGCAGCAGCTTGGTCCGCAGAATCGAAAACATCTAACGGCATTGTCATGTGCTGTCAGGGCTTCAAAAACTCGCCAATTTTGACAGGCGAAGAACTCGGCCAACATAAGTTGGACATCCGCGAAGGTGCTTGAGAGAGGCACGAGACAGAAAATGCTCCGGATCTTATTAATAAGTCTAAGGAGGTTGTTCTGGTTGCTTCGATGTGTGTATCTATTTTTCAAGTTGATCTTGCAAGGTTACGAACAGTGTTAAAACAGAACTGAACTGACGACATCCGAGCTTCCCAGAGAGGGATGAGGGCAAGAAAGTAGTTCTAGACAGGTGAACCTCTATCGAGATTTTACGTCATCCAGTTGCGACTAGTGAGTTGCCAAGGACTCTGAAGTCGGGTTGGGCAGTTTGCACACCCCTACACCCGAAAACGCCTAAACCCGAAAACCCTATTAACCCCAAACGCCCGAGCCCTTAATCCTAAACCCGAGAGAAAAAACCCCCTAAACCCCTCTCTGAGGAGGGTCGCAGAACTTAGGTTTTTACTAAATTGAAAGAAAAAACTCTGAGGAGGGGAAAAAAAATCCCTCTCTGATCCGAAACCTCGGGAGGCTCAGCTTCGTTTGCCTCGGCGGCCGCTGCTGCAGCCGCCAGGGCCGACGATTCCGACAGCCAGGCTCCAGACCGGCTCATAGGGTTTAGATGCAAAAGGGGGGTGTAGGGTTTAGGGCTTAGGGTTGTTCGGGGTTTTTAGGCTTTAGTATTTAGGGCTTTTAGGGTTTAGGGTAGTGCATAGGGTAGGGGTTTTGGGGTTTGGGGTTTCAGGTTTTAGTATAGAATCCTGAATAACTGCCAATTAGTATTCTGTAAGGCTCCACAATACAACTTTATTGTAATGTTAACGTGCCTCTGTTACAACAATCTTATGTCTTGCAAGTGTCTTATACGAGTTGTTGCTGTTTTCTGTTGGGTTGGGACCGTTGGGAATTAATCCGGTTTCATAGGATTTCAGGCGATGAAGCTTCGAGATTGTGGGATCCGCTGCCCCTGAGAATTGAGTTTGCCCAACTCATTCGGGACTTGACGCCGCACCCTAAACCCCCCAAGCGCTCTAACTAAATGCTACGCCGAACCCATACGCCCTATCTACTAAGCTGTCTAACCCTAAGCCCTATATACCCTGTACCCAGAGGCTCCTTGGTAGTTCCTTTTTGGGATTCCATTATAGGATTCTAAATATGAACCACAAAAAGGAACTACTTAGGACCCTATGGGTATTCACTGAATTCTCAATACCGCGACATCCCAGCACGACCCGCCCAGAAGAACCTCGCAGGTCAGCTCTATGAAGCCGTTCAAATTCGGCGACTCCAAGAATGACATTACAAATCCTCCCTGACGCTGAGAACCTAAGCCTTGCTTGCCCGCTTCCCAGAGAACCCAATACCCCTTAATTAAGGTACCTTAAACCATAATATTAAGGCCCCTATATGCCTTAATTAAGGGGTATTGGGTTCTCTGGGTTCATCCGGCGACTCAAGGGCCCAGCGAATCTTGCACGAACGCCAGCTGTCGCCGACTTCCCGGATGAGCAGGCCGCGGGTACTGAGCCAGCTTTTCTCCTCGAGCAAAGCGGCGACAGTGTTTGTTGGCATCAGCTATGTGGGTAGTTCTCTAAATTAGGGTCCCCTTTTAGACACGGCACCCTTATAAAAAGGACCCCAAAAGGGACCCGAATTTAGAAAACTACCCATACGATCTTTTACGCATGCTAGTATCTTTTCTGGTAGTTAAAGTCAGAAGCTCAGATTGCAGGTATCTGGCGCCACGGCTGTCCGGAGGCCCCTTGCAGACAAGTCTCTTTGGCCAAGCGTGATCCTCGTTGGTGTTGGGTTTGGGAGGGCATCCCGGCACAGACGCATCCCAACAAGTCACACCGGCACCTTTGTGTTGGACCCTTAAACCCTAAACCCTAAACCCTTAGCCATGCGAGAGGGAAAAAAACCCTTAAACCCCTAAACCCCTAAACCCAAGAAGCCCTAAGCCCTAAACCCCTAAACCCTAAACCCTAGGCTTGTCCCAGTGTGAGTGCTGAAACCCCAAACCCTAAACCGCTTCGACACTAGAACCGATCCAGAGCCGATCCAGGCAGTCCTTGCTGGAAAGTGCACTGCCTGCGCCTCGTCATGTGGCCAACATGGCCTGGGGCCCTGGGCGCACTTTGCTGCGGAAGGCCCTCTCCCCGGACAGTTAGGCTGAGGAGATATATTACAACTTGGGAGTTAGATGTGGGGGTTTCAAGCATTGGTCGTTAGGGCTGCGAAAGCCATGTGTAAGCTCCTTTGAGCTTTGCTTCAGCACACATTCTGCTTGCGTGGATTTCGACAGTCGAGCCGTGGGGGTTCGTGGATGTGCGAGAACGGGGGGGGGCCAGGGTACTGGGACTTGCTCTACCAAGTCTGACCACTTCTGCTAATATGGCCTGCCCTAATATGCCAACTTTACCGGCTTTTCCTGCACAGGCTTCGAAACTCGGCTTTTGCGAAGTTTCAGCGCCACACGTTAAATTATAGTTGCACGGTATGCAAGCTTAACTTGTGAGAGAAAACGTGTCAAAGACCAGTCTTTATCCAGAGACATACTAGTGAACAGCAAAGTTGTTGAGTGTCGGCTCGCTTTTCTGCTGTGGACGCCTTTCCGGCAGGAGCCCCCGTTGACGTGTTTGCGCACCCGCTTCTGCAATGATGTGGCGCAATCTGACACGCAGAGTTTCACCAACTCGGTCCGAGGCGGAGAGTGACCAAAGGTGTTTCGGAAGTTGGAGCCATAGAATGGTCACTTACCGATATAGGGCGTTGAGGTCAGAGACAACTTAGCATGCTGTGGAGGCTTCTGCTAACCCTGTGCGTAAAGATCCACAGCAGCTTGACGTCGACAAGCCCCAAGGCTCATTATGAAACCGTAGCCCTAAGCTAGCGGATCGGAAAAGGGCCGAACAAAAAGAAAGCCCAATGAAACTCCGATACTGTAAAACCCGATACCCTAAGCCTCCCAAGACTCCGCTACGGCTGACTCGGCGGGAAGGGTGTCCTTATAGTCCGGATCCCATCAGTGGGGTTTTCGACCTGGCTCTCCGATTTTCTGCGATCCTCCTTGTGTCTCTTCGTTGTTCTGGAGGCTCCGCGCGATCCCAGCTGCTGCACGGCCTCGTCGGAATGGCGTTGACGTCTGCTATCCAGGCATGGCATGGGGTTTGAGGTATACCTAGAAAGCCAGTTTACCATAATTTGGGGTAACTGTTTCCCCTTATTTCTTTAAAGTTGTATATATTTATGGGCAACTTGGCTTTCCAGGTAATTGGTGCCAGGGGAGTGTGTGTTTGGCTAGACGGGGCTGCTGGACAACGAGGCCTGTTTCAAAACACATGGTGGGCAACGCCTCCAATTCATCCTAGGACACAGGCAAGTGAAGAAGAGATCCATGTTTTGCCAGTTCTGAAGGGACGTCCCCCGAGGTATTCCTGAAGCATATAGACCGTCCAAGATTTCGCGGATCTGTTTAGCCGTGGCGAACAATGCGCTGGTACTAGCGGGCCTCAACCCTACTCTAGTCATCAAGGCCTTGACTCTAAACCCTAAACCCTAACCCCTAAACCCTCCCACATAGCAAGGACCCCTAAACCCTAAACCTGAGATTCGATCCACGATAGGATTGCTGGTGTAAGTTGAGGCACCTCCTCGAAGCTGCCAAGCTTTTGCCAACGCCACTCTTGCCATTTCTGCTGATTTGTCGTGCTTCCGGTGTTCAGTATATTTCAGAATACTCCTTTGATAGACAACTAGGGAGATGGACGAACTTGCACTGACACAGGGGCAAGCAGGCATACGACACTGCATTTCGTGGGGCCTGACCGAACTTAAGAAGTTGCAGCTCTAGGCTGCCAACTTCTCGCAGCGCCATGAACTTGATCGTTGCTTTGCTCGTCACGGCTCTCTGCGTGACGGCCTGTTCGGTACTGATTGTGCTGCTCCTCATCCTGCGTGGTAGTCGCTTCACCTTGCCGGCGATATCAGCATCGGCGATTTGGCCCGGTAAGCTTGAAGACAACACCGCTGGATTTTCTCAGAACTTGTCCTACAATGAATTTCTGGAGAAGCACATCCGCCGCCAGCTGTCTCAGGGAATGAGAAGCTGTCTTCAGAAATCGATCGCCGAAGCCGTGGCCGAGATCCGCCGTCAGCCACGTTTGCCAGCTCTAGACGACGTGGAGGAGGAGGTGTCTAACGAATCGAACGGGCTGCCTGGTATCGTCAGCACGGACTTTTCGACGCTTCGGGCCCGAGGGTGTCTTGGCATCCTTGATAATACCGGCGTGACGAGGATTGACCTCGTCGAGCACCCGGATGCACAGCTCTGCACCTGGAAGACCATGTCGAAGGCAAAACTCATCAAGGAACACAAAGTCAAAACCGTGGTAGCCGAGCGCCTCGTGCTTCTGGCCACGTCCGCTTGCCCGTCCCCCTTCATCCTGGGCTATTACGGTTGCTGCCAGACACCGAGATACCTCCGCTTCCACATGGAAGGTTTCGGTGCGAGCCTGCATTATGTCTACCAGCGCGACAGGCTCTATGGGAGCGAGCCCCATGCAAGGTACTACATGGCCAGCGTTGTTTGTGCTTTGCAGCATTTGCACAGCTTGCACGTCGTCTTGCGGTGCTTGAAACCAGAGGATTGCGTCCTCACTTTCCAAGGCAAGCTCCAGCTGTTTGACTTCCATTTCTCGAAGATCATCGTCAACAAGACCTGGACAACGTGTGGGACGCCGGAGTACTTCGCACCCGAGGTCGTCAGCAACTCGGGCCACTCATTCGACTATGACTGGTGGATGGTGGGCATTATGATGTACGAGCTTTGTGCAGAGGTCTCGCCCTTTGCAGAGCCCAATATGATGAACACATACAGCAGGATCAAGAAATGCCAGTTCACATTCCCAAAATCTGTACCCACGTCAGCGAGGAATGTTATCCGACAGCTTTTGGTGAAGAACCCTTCGAAACGGGCACCGGGTGGGGCGAAGTCGCTTGCGAAGCACAGCTTATTCCGGCCCGTGTCTGCACCAAATGGTTCGTGGGACTGCCTGCATAAGATGGAGCCTCCATTTACACCATCCTTTGCAGACGGGCCTTTTTCCAATATCGAGAAAGCCAGCGACGAGGACCTTGCTGAGTCCTGGGGTGCGCCGACCGGGTCGGAAGACCCGCCCCCCGGGCGGGCTGAGTGGGAGCAGTTCGGGCCAGTGGGGCCCTGTGATGACTTTCCTTGAACCTGAATCGCGAAGCGATCGGTTGAGAGCTTGTTGTGCAATTAGTCTTACTTTTTGGATTTGATTTGTGTCTAAGGCCGGCGGCCATCTTGGGTGATAGTGATGTCATCCTCGTGACCCAAGTCTCTTCCCGAAGCCACAGTCCTACTGAGTTGAAACCTTTCGGGTCCGACGGGGTCATATGATGCGGCTGATGATATAAATCCTGCATTACCCATCGTAAAGGAATATACCATAATTCCCATAGTTTAGGGTCCTCAAGGTCATGCGGGATTTATACCATCAGTAGTACGGCTTACTCAAGCCTTGCAATAGCCCGGCTGAAGCATGAGAATGAACCTGGTTGAAGCAGCACACTGCTGCTTCGCGAAACATGTGGGTCACATGTTTAGGGTTTAGGGGTTTAGGGTTTAGGATTTATGGAACCAGTGGAAAGCCTGTTGCAAAAGGATTTATGGAACCACCGTCCTTATACTTCTGTTGCGCATGCCTACGTTTTCTTCTGGCCGAAGCCTCGGCGAGCCGTTATAGTTTACGTGCGTGTTATCTCGTGCATGCTGGGCTGGGTAGTTTGGCTGGTGGCAGCACTAAGTGTTTCATCTCTGTTGCTGAGTTCGACGAGGGAATTACCAGGTATGGTGGCTGAGGTGATTGATAGCGCAGTCTCCATGTCCAAGTGTCTTGGTACCCATAGGCTCCATTGTAGTTCCTTTTTGTGGCTTAAAGTTAGGATCCTATATGAGGGAACCCCCCACACGAACTACAATGGAGCCTATGGGTAGCTACAGAGCCCAAAGATAGCTCAAGCTTGAGATGGGGGGTTCGGTCGCAGGTGCTGGCCCCACAACCTCGCGGTCAGGATTTGGGAAACTTGTCGCGCCCTGGCCAGAAGCTTCAGGAATCTCCGCCGTATACGTTTAGTTTAGGTGCAGCCTGTGGTCTCTACTGCCTTCCATGATTTGCTTGAATGGCCGCTTTTGAGGATCCTAAAGCCTAAACCCTAAACCCTAAACCTGGGAGGGCTCCTGCTGACCTGAAAGGGTTTGAGGCTCCTGGAGACCCGAAGACCCTCAATGAAGGAATATACCTTCAACTCATACCAGGGTACTTATAAGACCACCGGAGAGATTCCCCTTCATTATGGGGCTTGGGAGTCTCTGGGTGTATTTGCCTTTTGTCTCCGGGTTTTGGTCCTGGGACCCGGAATTGGCGTTGCCTAAACTCTGGAACCTAAACTCCCAAGCCCCTGAGGTGGGAAAAGGGTGCTCAAGCAAGACTAAATAAAAAAAATCCCTGGACGGGTAAAGCCCTCTCGAAGATGCATGCTTCTGGACGTTTGCAAAAGTCCTGCTTTAGTGCGGTCACCAGTGCTGCAGCTGTACTCTGCTATGTCATGTTCCAAGCTGTTTCTAGCTTTCAACAGAAGCTTTAGGGATAAGAGAAGCAGCATTTGGTATTCATTGTACCACGTGTCAGATGGGGCTGCGCCCAATGACTCCCATATTGAAGCAAGTCGAAGCCAGCCGCAAGTCTACCGACATGACTCGGCAATCCTCCAAGAAATCTCGGCCAGAAGATGGATTTGCGTACTCTTCAGCATGGATCCCTTGCATTATTAAGCCTGCCCGGCCATCACCAATACCGGCAAAATTGGAATACACTCAAGGCGAGGTTGCGAGAGTCTGCTAGAGATGGCTTGAGGGTCACACTCGGTTTGGGCCGCCTCGGCTGACTCTGTTCGAACCACGATGTCCAATATAGACTCGCAATTCCTGCCGAGATCGAAGTTCGCCCAAGCCCTGAAGGAACGCTCACTGATATCCTGTGTCTAAGGCCAGAAGTACGGCCCCCTAATATGGACCCTTAGGCCTTTCTAAGGTCCCTTAAAGGTACATATAGGGTATATGGGCCCCATGGTTTCGACCTTACACTGCGGCCAAGGTGGAAGTTTGCGACCTGTCGCTCCCTGAACCACCTGCTGCTCGATGCCATGGGCAGCCTGCTGGTGCAAAAGATCAGGGAAGTGGATCCACAGGCTCGCCGACGTAATTAAAACAACACCCCCATGATTTCTAAGATTCAACATGTCATGAAAGTCAGTCGGTCTTGTGAAGGGTTTTGCGTGCAGCTCTGCATGCAGGCAACTTCCATCACCGCCCGGTCATTTGGGAAGCTCCAGCATATGAGCAGGCCTCTCTTGCACATAGCCGCTACTACTACAGAACCAACGATGGACAATTCTGGTTCGCAGAGTGCCGCCAACATCGCTCGGGCATCTGGCAAGCTCGGACATGCGGGGGGAGCGGCGACGCATGCTGCATCACGACGTGCAATGCAGCTGGCCCCCAAGCCTTCAGCACAGCAACTGAGCAATATCATATGGTATCCTGGCACCTTGAAGATCGAAGATGGCAGGCTCGTCGATGTAGCAGCACGGGGAACATGTGAAAAGATTCAAGAACCTGCTCCACAGAACACCAGCAACACTGTGCGGAATCCAGGGACGCCGGTGCAGAAGCATGGCAGGGCAACTAGTGCCTCCACTTTCCGGAGCAAGCACACCCTAGACGGGCTTGGCCAGCAAGAGCCAGCGAACACTCTATGGAAATTGGCAGCTTTGGAGTGGTTGGGCATGCTGCCAACGGAGGCTGCAGCTAAACGACTGGTTTCTATATGGCACACGGTCGCATTGCAAGGCCTGGCGAACATCGCCTGGGCGTTTCTGGGTTCTTGTTAGGGGATTTAATTTCAGTTACCATAATGGGGGTCTATAGTAAATGATATGGTCTCCTTATCATGGTAACTTAATTTAAATCCTTCGACAAGAACCCAGGTTTGCGAAGCTTCGGGCTGTCAGTTTGCTGTCATCGCATGCGCTCGCATCTTCTGCAAAGCTTCGAGTGTCAGAGTTTGGCCCACAAGAAACTGGGTTCTTGTTAAGGATTTATTTTAAGTTATCATAATAGGGATCTATAGTAATAAATATGGTTTCCTTATTATGGTAACTTAAATTAAATCCCTTAACAAGAACCCAGGAAACTGCCAACAGTGTGTGGAACGCTGCTGCTTTGATGTCCCACGGCCGCCCAGCCTTGGAAACGATGTCCCAGCGTGCCAGACAGATCTCTGCAGAGCCGCATGCGCAGCACCTCTCTAATCTGGCACGAGACCATGCAACGTCACAGTTCCTGGGCACCCAGGACCCGTGTTAGTATAATGTTTTTTGTTTTGTTTGTTTTTTTTTTTCGCTTCCCTTTCAAAACAGCACAACTTAAGTAGGAAACATCCGTTTGCAACTGGGATACTGAACCTAGGCAATCCACTAATGTTGGCGTTGGCAGAGAAGTTTGTGCAGAAAGCGCCAGAGAGCCGGCCCCAACAGTTGTCGACCACGGCTTGGTGCTTGGCCTCGCCGTCGCTGTCTCACATGCCTTTGATGGAAGCTAGGTGAGGCACCGGATTGCTTTCAGTATGTTCCCTTGTTGCGTGTCAAGAGAACTTGCCCATCTTAAAGGTTATCTTATCTTACATCCAACTAAGGAAGCAGCCACACAAAGATCGCTCCGACAGCTTTCAGAGCTCAGCCCACAGTCTCCGGCAAACAGCGCACAGAACTCGGCCACCTGGGGACTCCACGGCGAGGCCTCGATCTCTGCTCTTGCGGAAGCTGCCTCCCTGCGGCTCCCGGAGCTCGAGGCCCAGGGACTCGCCAATCTGGTTTCAAGGCTGTTCACTGGCATGCCCCTTTTTTTTGAGGGTTTAGACCAGGTTTTGAAAATTTTGGGGTCAGGATTCCTTGTTTATTTCTGGTTGAGCTAGGTCGTAGATCTAGCCCGAAAAAGCGTACCTCATTCTTGTAAGGTGGTTTCTCAACGACCGAGGTTTGGAGGAGCACAGCCCCTGCCATGGTAGAAGGCCGCTCTGCGATCATTGGGGTTAAGGGGGCCTGAATCAGAACTAAGCCAGGTAATATAGGGGCCTTAATCATTCGAATAGGGTTTTGGGGTCCTTTTTGTATAGTTATAATGCGGAACCCCCAAAATAATCTAGGGAATACTTGAGGTCCCTATATGATGCCCGAATTAGCCAGGTAGACACTGCGGTCTCTATCTAAATATACCATGAGACACGCCGAAGCCCCACTCTCACCACATGTACCCTGGCTTAGGGTACATGTTACACGTTCGATTTGTTATGGTTGGCCGGAGGCATGGAAGCTCGACGCCTCTAAAGCTTTGAGCAAAGCTGATATGAGTGCGGGCAGCTTCTTTTTGATGGCCCCATCCAGCTTTGCACATACATAGCCTTAGCCCGTAGCCTTAAAACCTGATGAGCATGGATATAGAGCTGAGTGTCCTCCTCCTGCGTCCACTGCTACTCTACTCATACAGACTGCTATCGAATGCAAAGATGCTGTCTCAGAAAAGAAAGTCGTACAAGTAAACGAACCCAAAAAAATAGAAAACATGTATGAAAGAAGAAGTCTTAGATGAATGTCTCTAAACCCTAACATCTTCGGATTTGCAGGATCGCTTTGGGCATCCTTGCCCTGCATGATGGCGGCAAGATTACCTCGGCTCAGTGCCCAGAACCTTGCGAACACCGCACGGGACTGTTCACCAAAGGTTTAGGGTTTAGGGGTTTAGGGTTTAGGGCCTAAGCGTGATGGGAGGGTATATACGTATACGTATATAGTATAACAAACCTCGCCTGACCTCGTCGAGCGCCTAGTGCTAAAAAGCAGAATAATCGCATGGCGGGGCATGGCCTGGAAAAATAAACAATAACAGTAATCGTATGATGCTGCTTACTCCTATTGCTGTTTATCTATAGATACTCGTAGATCGATGGGTAGATAGCTAGTTAGTTAGTTAGTTAGTTAGATAGATAGATAGATAGATAGATGGACAGATGGGTCGATGGATAGATGGACAGATATAGATAGATAGGTAGATAGCTAGGTAGGTAGACGTAGGTAGATAGGTAGGTAGACAGCTAGATTAGATAGATAGAGATAGATAGATAGATAGATCGATAGATAGATAGATAGATAGGCAAATAGATAGATAGATATAGCGACCATAAGAGGATGTGATGCAGAGAGAGTCGGAGTAGAAAGTGAGAGTGACTTGTAAGAAGAAGACCGAAAGCGATGTGTCTCTGTGATTAAGCTAAGGTTTGTTCTCCTTTCCTATGTTGGTGTGTGTGTGTGATGTCGCACATGCTTCTTTCGGGAGCCGCCGTTTGCTGCTGGAGACAGATGGACAGACAGTAGATCAGAGGAGAGCCCAGGTAGACAACATGATCGTGTGCTTCAGTTGGAAAACCGAAGCTCTGAAGCCCACAGAAAGAATAATGCAAAGGGTGAAAAGAACTTGAGTCTTTCATGCGATGGAAGCCGGAGGACTTGGCAACGGCGACTGATGCAAACGGGACGCTGCTGTCGCAGACTTCCTCGGAGGCACTCCTTCGTGTCGCCTGCTGGGCGGATGACGTGCAACCTGGATACACCTAGGGCCCGGGGTCTTCGACGATGTAGTTTTCGCCTTGCTGCTTCTACAGTTTTCGGCCATGTAGCCCCGCCGACGATGAAAGTTGTTCGAGGCGACATGAAACGGCGCTAGCTGCCTTTCTCTATTGGACATGCCTGCCTCTTGCAGGCTGAGGGTGCCCCTGTATGGGCGTTTCAGGACCCGTAGAAAGAAGCCTCCATGGCACGAAGAAGGGTCGAGTCGTCAAGTTTGAGAGACAGCCTCTCCAGGCATCCTCCCTTCGACCGTCCTGAGCTGGTGTCAAGATGCACCTGCATCCTCTCACTGGCCTGGGCCCTGGCCTTTGTGAACCTCTTGGACGATGAGGCCCGGGCTGTCGCCAAAATAGCAGGCTGTGTCCATGATTGGCCGAAGACTGCCAGAAGCATTGGCATAGAAGATTGCTGAACCCTGTCTCCACATGCAGATGTCCTGGGAGGTACGATATCGGCTGCGACAGGCCAGTCGGGTGAAGTGTTCGAGGGCTGGTATCCGCTCTCCTTCGCAGCAATGCCAGCCGTTGACAGTACCCTACTCCAGAGACCTCAAAGATCTTAGAATAAATGGTTTTAGAACCCCCATATACAGTTAAAGGCTATTCCAAAAATCAGGGCTCAGGTCTTATGGGATTTCTGGGCAAGGGAGATGTTCGCTGTCCAGGTTACAAGAACTGCTCCCCTGCATGTACGCGACCTCTTAAATTGAAGCTACTGGTAAGAACGCGTGCTAAGAACCCAAACTGTTTGACCGAACCGCTAAATTATTTCTAGTGGTGGGACTTGTGCTTGCATCCTCGAGTCTGTGGATAGTTCGCTAAAGTAGGGGCCCTTCTCCCTCAGAAAAAGGGTTTATAATTCCCTGAGATTGAGATTGACAAGGGGCCCTAACTTAGAGACCGACCCATTTGCAGAAAGCATGCGCAGTTTGGAGAAATGGCAAGATGTGATTGCTTTCGGGCGTGCGGTCTCCACGGTGGGTCTCTGCCTGAAGCCACAAAGACCCTCCAGCTTGCGCCGCAGCCTTGAATCGTCACATCCCCATACAGCCCAGACGCCCCGGACTCAAAATCCCCGAAACCCAACGAACTCTGAACCCCATAAACCCTACAAAAACCGATAAGCCCCCGAAACCCCGAAACCCTTAAGTCGAAGATGTCACAGGCGTTGCTCTCTCTGTCTGCTGCTCTGGATGCCTGCCCGGGCACCACGGCACTGCCTTCGGAACCGCTGCCCGAGCGAGAGGGCGACCGACAGCCACGGCGCGCCAAGAGCTCAGGGGGCCACTTACTGAGGGGCCTTAATAATTAGAATAGGGCTTTGGGGTCTATTAAATACTATTACACTATAATTATATTCAGGAACCCACAAAACCCTATTCTAATTATTTAAGGCGCTCATATCAGGATTCGGGAGCTGCAGTTGCTGTTCCTGGCATCCCCGTGGTCTTCCTGCCTTTATGATGCTGGGAGCTTGGGGTGTTGTTGTGTAGGGTTACCTGGAATGAACACTTTGTGCACTTTGCACGAGCCGCTCTTGAACCCTGCCCTGACGCCAATGTACAGCCGACAAGCGCCGGCCCTCTTTTACATGAGCAGTCTATCTCACACCACAAGCCCACTTGCTTCACATCGAACCCCTTGAGCGCACAAGGCCTGAACGAAAACTGACACAGAGAGCCCGCACTCAGCCCCAAGCCCAAACAGACCGTTGAGCGTGCTTTGCCACTGCACGGGTCATTCCTGTCGGCACTGAGCCTGAAATCCAACACACCGACTGAAGAGCGAATGAGACAACCACAACTACACAAGCCTAAACCCTAAACCCTAAACTAACGGGCCTTTCGAAGTATCTCGTCAATCTGACCTCGCTTGTGGGCTTTGATCCTTAGCTATGCGAGAGGGAAAAAAACTAACTAGACAAGCCTCATTTTACCAGAGCCTTTCATGCAGAGGCCTTGGGCCTCAAGGGCATGTGGGTCATCTACAAGCCAGCAGACTGGGAGGCCCTCGGTTTTCTGGATACAGTGCAGGACGGCAAGCCACGCTTCTACTACCGTTGATGGTATAAAGGACCCTAGACTATGGTAATTATGGTATATTCCTTATTATGGGCAATGCAGGATTTATATCATCAGCCGTAGTACCACATCGCGCGAAGCAAGCCAAAGTACTCTTCAGGACTTACAGTCAGCCAGAGGTGCTTCGCGTTTCGTGGTGTCTTTCGGAGTTGTAATCAGGCCCATGCAGGGAGAAGGTATCGGAAATACAAGTCCTGAACAGCGAGCCGCGTGTTCTTTGTTCATGGAATTGTGACATGCTGATTGGGCATATATAAAGTTGCGGCAGTGCGCTGCTTCTCCGTCATTGCGGCTTGTCGAGACCGACAAGTCTTAATCCCATGAGTCTAAGCAAGTTGCCAACTCAGAGTTCCTGGGCCGTGGCCTTAGTATTCAGAAACGAGACATATGGCGGAAACCAAAGACTTCGGTCCAGGCAGGACACGTTGTTGAGCAGAACCTGCGCCGTATATGCATTGGCCAGCTACACTGAGACTCTGTCACGATGGAGTTGTCTTGGAGCTATACAGATATACAGCTGTACTGAGACTTTTTCGTCGAATATGGAGAATCGTTCGAGGCTGGTTCGAGCTAGCATCCCATTGACTCACCCTCTGCTGCAGCCATTTTGTAATTCCGAGTTACTGAACCTCTTCGCGCCAAGATTCTCCTGACCATGGCGCGATCCATCTGGCTGGGAATCTTCCTGGGCTGCGCGTGGGCAGACGAGAAAGATGCTCGGTCTTCTGGAGATGACTTGCTGTGATTGGGATTCTCATGCCTCTTGCTGCGTTGCTAGTCGCAACCAAGGATGCATCATGCATGCTGCAACAGCACGGCTCAGCGCAACGAAGCACCAAGCCGGCGTTTTTAGAAGGCCGCTCGTCCCTCGCAGAGCTTCCGAGCAGCGCCACCTGCAAGAAGAAGTTCACCGACAGCAAGGTTTGCAAGACTACGAGCGGTGTAGATTGCGACTTTCCCGAGCTGTCCGGCAACGTCCCCAAGTGCTGGTTCTCGGAAACGCAGGGGTACAACCCGTGCCTGCCAAAGCCAGTCGCAGGAACCTGGACCACGGCCAAGATTGATTTTGGGCCAGATGAGGCTGGAGTTTGCTTCCTCGTGCCGAAAGGCGTATGCCCCGTACAGCTCCTGGGCCACGGACCGTGAGCACATTTTCTTCTTTTTTTCGGGGGATTGGGGAAAGCGGGGCTTGTTTTGCTGCATGCTGCTCCGGGTATCTTAGGGTTTGCGTCAAGAGCGGGAGCCCCAACAGTGCGGCTGGTCGAGCTTGCTACTCTGGGAAGCAAACCTGTGGGACAAACGGCGGCCCATCAAATGGCAAGGTGGGGGGTGCATGCAATGCTACCCTGAGAGGGTGAGATCCCGATACGTTCAACCTCTTGGCCTCACCTTTTTGTAATATGCCTTACTTTATGTAAAATCACTTACAAACTAATGCAGAGGCCGATGCGATTGCTAGCACACTGCCTCTGCGATCCTGATATAACTGTATTGACTATGGCAGCACTAGCCCTACTCTAATCCCCGAGGCTACTGCTATTGCAGCGGGTGGCAATATCCTTGGCCAGAACTGGCTAGAACTTGGCACTCCCCGACATGAGAAACACCTCCCAGGTGGACGAGACCTTTTGCACGAAGTGGACGGCTCCGGATAAATTCTGTGTGGTGAGCCTTGCAACCAACAGAAACAACCCAAACAACATCCGAGATCTGAGCAACTTTGCCGTTCAGTTCGGCTGCTGCGATGGGTGCCTTAGCTTTAGATTCGTCGGGCACACTGAACCCTAGACTTTCATCGAAGCAGTCCTGCGGGCCTCTGTGTATTCCGCAACAGAGGAGTGGAGGTGTAGTGGGAGATCCGCACATCCATACCTTGGACGGAAACGAGTTCGACCTCTACGACAAAGGAACTTATTCGGTCTTCCACTACGGTGGTACCGGTGTCTGAGTTGCCCCAGAAGGATGTTTTTTTTGTTTTTCTCATTTTCGGTCCCCGCTGGAGTCCGGCCCACGATCGCAGGTTCTGCAGTGTTCTTGATCATGTGTCCCATGCTGCAGACAGAAGCTCTGCACCCTGAAGCGATCAAGCAAGCTAGACATGCTTGAGGTGGAACAGGCGGCACCCGCCTCAATTCCCGAGGTGACATCGATTGGCAACTCTACGCCACCTATGGAGGCCCGTGGCTCATAAGACAATTCCCATAAAGTGCATAACCATAGCCAAAGTCTTGACTGGCAGCAGAATCCTGCTCCGAAACCACGCCTCGCTGCAGAAATCCCTGGAGTCCCGGCATGATCCCGGCTTGCGGAGGCCCGCTGTGGACAGTCCAAGGCTTGCTCTTGGTGGATCGATCCAAAGGTCGCTTCCGACAGGCGCTGGAGGGGTCTGGGAGTCTTACGGTTGATTATACAAATCCTGCATTACTCATAACAAGGACTATACTATAATTCCCAGAGTTTAGGGTCCTTGAGGTCATGCGGGATTTCTACCATCAACAGTAGGGTGGGGAGGGTTTTAGGAGTCGGACTTTGGAGCTCTCCAGGCTCCCTTTTGAGGCTATGGAGCTGACGTCCGAAGACTGCCAGTGGCGCAGCAAGAACGGGCATGCGTCCTGGTCAGTCATCGAGCGAAATGCACCTTGACCGCGAAGTAGCATGTGAAAGCTGCTTCGGAAGGTTACTACCCGCAAGGAACCCCCTGAAGCATTACCTGCGGCATGCAGCTGCACAAGCAAAAGTGAGGCATCGCTGTCCTTGTTGGAAGGGGGCGAGTACGTGACGGGCTTCGAGTATGTCAACGAAAAGCACGTCAACCTTGGCATCAACACCCCTCACGGCAAGAAAGACGTTCTTGTCCTAAACACTGTGTGCATGAGTCTGGAGTCAAATTTTGGAACCAGTCTTGATTTTTTTGAGGTTTTGTTAACATGAACCACCAAGCCTCTGTTACTCTGTTACAGCCGGTGACGAAGTTTCTGCAGGACGAGTTGTTTGATCAAGCCTCAGAAAGAACCCCTTCACCTCAGCATGAGTATTATTTTGAGCTGAAGTTTTGAATAGCAGGAGGTGGAACAGTGCCGAGTACTTGGAGATTCATGTTTAGTTATAAGTGGAGTTTTAAGTAGGGTAACTATAGTTATAACCCATGTTGGGGGACTTATAACCCCACTTACAACTACCCATGAACCTCCAATTATCGGCCTCGAGCCCTGCGACCCCAGGAGCGGTGCTATCAACTTGCGGGTCTCCCCGCGCAAGGCCTTCGAAGCCAAGTTCCTGACAGGCCAAATCCAAGCCGGCAACGCCAAAAGCCAGGACAGCTCCTGCCTACCGGCCTCCCTAAACCCTAAACCCTAAACTCTAAACCGTCTTAAGTGTCCAGAATTCTGTGCTCAACAGAGCAGGGTGTGCTAGGGCCATCTGCAGGAGAGGTTCCCAGTCGAGGAGAGCTGGGAATCGCTAGGTGGGCACTTTCCAAAAACACGTTGCCTCAAATAGTGGCATACATAGAACTTTCCGAAAATTAGGGCTACCTTATTTTGGGGTCCCTATAATTAAGGATCCTACTATCTAGGGTACTATATAAGGGTCCCCTATTTTCGGAAACCCCCACAGGTCAGGATCCGATTCTGTCCCTGGGCACCCTTCACCCGCCAAGACCGAGCCTAGCGACAGGTGGGAGCGACAGCGCCGCATCCTTCCTGAAGAAGAACCAAGACGAGAGTTCACTTGTCCGCGCTGTCATAGTGGGTTTAGGGCTTTAGGGCTTTAGGGTTTATAGGGCTTTAGGGTTTAAGGCTTTAGGGCCTTAGAAAGCCAACATTGAAAGCTGGAATCCACTGCCACTGAGTCGCAAGCTCGGAGGAGAAGCACCTGCTTGTGACCTCCTGCACTGGAGACGCCAAGACGAAAGCCGAGGACACCTGCGCGGAATATCTCGGCGAGGAGCCTCCTCCGAAGACAGCATTGCTTGCTAGTATCGAGAGCTCCGCATTCAAAGTCTCGTTCGTGTTATTTGAGGACCGCAGCGTCTAGAGACTAGAGCCCCCATGTGCGACGATGCGCTTGCGGCGCTTGTTATTTCCTGCGCTACGTTGCCGAGTGAGCGGGAGATCATAAGCTGACATAGAACAGAGATTCCAACATTCGGCATGAATCCTGTGATGGCCTTAAGCACTCGCCTTCTCTGCCATAACTACCCCTGGCGCATCAGGCTTTGGCATCACCTAACTGGCCCCTCAACAGCGAATCTTGACTTCGTGGTCAGAGCAATTAATTTGCAGCCCATGCCATGTGGAAAGGAGACGCGAGAGTCCGGGAGTTTCTTCGACGATTGCGTCTTCGATGTCTGCCGAGGAGGGGAGTCATTCGCAAAAGCAGCGGCGGAGCTACGCTCACTCATGTAGTTGCTGACGGTTCAGCCCCCTGAAATCAGGGAACTGTTTTAACTTTTTGTTCCAAGACTGAAAGTCAGTCTGGACGATTTCTGGCACGCGGCACTCCCCCAAGGGGAATCCTTCTTCGCATGCCCTTGCTTTAGATGATGCTAGGATATACGTTAAAAGCACGTATTGCAAAAAAAAACATGTCCGAAGCAGAAAGATCCCCGAAGCCCTTTCAAAATTACTCACCATTCTCATATTTATCAGCATGATTTTCATCATTACCATCATTGTTTGGGAATCCTTGGTGGCCGGTTGGAATGGATTTGATTTGATTCGAATACACCAACTCCCGGAAGCCCGAAACCTCGTCTCCGAAGGGGAAGATGTAGAGATGGTATGATAAGTACTTGTGATTATAAGTATGATTATTATGATTATTCTTGCTATCATCATTATTGCTATTATTTCTAAAATTATTATTACTATTACATAGATGTTGTTATCAGTAATTCTTATTACTATTGGTGTTGGTATTGGTATTCGTATTGGTATTAGTATTGGTACCATTAGTATTATTGTTGTTAGTGAGGCTTCCATGCTCTCGACATCGAGTGACTTGGTCCACAGGTAGATGGCACGGCCTCAGATGGGCTGGAACATCTGACGCTCTCGCGCCTCGGATGAGAAACCTCGCATTTTGACTCCTGGACCCAAGCCTGGGCCTTAAACGTAAACCTTAGGAAAACCTTACACTTCTACCCATAGGCCCCTAAGTAGTTCCTTTTTATGGTTCATACTTCGAATCCAACAAGGTAATCCCAAAAAGGAACTAATTAGGGGCCCATGGGCAGAGCCGGTGGTCGGCAAATGCAGGTCTTTCCTCCGCAAGGAGCTTGGCGTGGCTGGATGTCCAATTGCATCTGGACTGCCAGAGAATATCGAAGCCTGAATAGTTGCTACCAGTAGTATGGTTCCGTAGATTTCCTGATTATAAGTATCTTAATCATAACGTACCTCAAAGCCAGGCCCCATACAAATTCCCGAGCTCGTATGCACAATAGGTACACCAAGGCAGCGAGGCTTGCGATTCGAACATTAAGCTTGCTCTAGGTCTCCTTGAATGCTTTGTTGGTTTCAAGCTTTGGCACTAGTATCTGTGCAGCCGATTTTCATGTTCTGCGGGTCCGTGAAATTGTTGCTTGGGGAATCTCCGAAGAAAGCGTTTTACTAATTTACTACTTCGACACTGCCGGGGCTCGCGAAGCTTTTCAGTGGACTCAATTTTGGATTCTTCGCCTTGTCCATATAGAACTTACTCCCTGAATCTGCGCCTAAAAAAAATCGAAGCTCGATCTTCTACCCAGAGGCTCCAAAGTAGTTCCTTTTTTGTGGTTTATATTTAGGATCCTATAAAGTAACCCCAAAAGGAACTACTTTGGAGCCTATGGGTAGCGAGGCGTCTGATGCCGGACATGGTTTCGGTTTCTTACATCGCCTGGACATACCGAGCTCCGGCCTCGTGCTCTGTGGTACCTCATACGCAGGCCGGTCCGGATCCTACACCTCAAGCATCATGTGAACTTTGGAGGCTTTGGGGTGTGTAGGGATGACTCTAAAGCTTCTGTGAGGGCTAGTCTTCATATATGGGACAATTGGAACTTGGAGTTATTTTGTATGAGCTACTATGAGGTCTACGAGCAATGTAAATACCCATAGGCTCCAAAGTAGTTCCTTTTTGTGGTTACTCTAGGATCCTAAATATAAACGACAAAAAGGAACTACTTTGGAACCCTAAACCGTAAATCCCCAAACCCTAAACCCTAAATCCCTAAACCCTAAATCCCTAAACCCTAAATCCCTAAACCCTAAACCCTAAACCCTAAACCCTACCCCAGCGTGTCGAAGATGCGAGTCGTGGGCTTCCAAAGTGTCAGACCCGAGGCCCAAGCTGAGCAGAGCCGACCCGAGGTTTAGGGATTTAGGGATTAAGGGTTTAGGGATTTTAGGGATTTAGAGTTTAGGGCTTAGGGATTTTATGGTTTAAGGTTTAGGGTTTATAGGGACTTTAGGGAGTTAAACCCTAATAATTAGGGTTTAGGGTTTAGGGATTTTAGGGATTTAAGGATTTAGGGTTTAGGGATTCTAGGGATTTAGGGATTTAGGGTTTAGGGATTTTTGGGATTTAGGATTTAGGGTCTAGGGTTTAGGGATTTTGGGGATTTAGAGGACGTTTTGAGCGCGAGCTGATTCAGGTTGTGTGCCACCGGCATGAACGATTTAGGTCATCATGGAACGCCACATCCGATGATAGCTTAGGTTGGTCCATCTGCCATTGAATCTTGTTGAAATATGACCCCAAAACATTACGTTTCCCTTTATTTGGGCTTCTGAGGGCTTGATGCAGGCTACTACTGCCTACGGCTGCAGCTGGACACCCAGACCCTACAGCGCCCCTTGGAAAAGCAGGAAAGGTAAAGATTAAGGTTGAGGGCGGTTGGGGTTTAGGGTAAAGAGGTCTGAGTAACTACTAGGAACACATGCCCCTCTATGTGGTTTGAGACGACCGCTCGAGGAGGTCGGGTTTGGGACTTTTCAGAAATAGAATCCCCGTACACTATATCTTCTCTTTACATATGCCAGTAGTATACATCGAAACCCTGCCGATCTGCCAATTCGCCAATTCCGTGCGTAGAGCAGCGATTGTAATCATGCCTTTGCCCATGATCATGATGAACACTAGCCTTGATGGGCTCAGTTGGTTTGGGTGTACAGGAGTGGAAAAAAGGCTCTTGACACACAGAATTAAGGCTTGGGGGTATCTTATAGTACATCTTTTTATGAGGAAACCCATGCAAGGAAAGCTTTGCAATGATCTGCAGAGACTGTAGAGGCCTTCTGGCCATGCAGTGGACGGAGGCAGTTTCGTCCAGAGTTCCAGAATGTTTGTGCATGTCATGTCCGTGGCACGGACCTTCAGTTTCCAGTCTTGATCCCTAAACCCGTGTGGTGCGAGCGTGAGAGTCGAAACCCGTGTGGAGCCTTGCCTGCCTCGTGCGAGCGTGAGAGTCGAAACCCTAAACTCTTTCACTACTTGGAGGTTCATGGTTAGTTATAGGTGGAGTTATAAGTAGGGTAACTATAGTTATAACCCATATTAGGGGACTTATAACCCCACTTATAACTGCCCATGAACCTCCAAGTAGAAGTGAGGAGAGTACTTCATCCTTGCCCACGACCTTCCGGATGACCTGTCCATCATCGAGGCCGATGCAGAGCAAGTGTAAGGAGGCTGCAGAGGCAAGGTGCCAAATAAAAAGCTAAGTCGCTTGATGGGATAGCCCTGTTTAGTCCAAACTCCCGAGGAAAGCATATCGGTGCTTGGAAATGGGTTGGCAGGTGAGGGAACCGATTTTCGCTGTGGTGCCTTTTTTTCAGTGCTCGCCTCCTGACTGTGTGAGTGAAGGCTGCCGAGCGGAGATGTGGACGCAGCATCCTAAACCCAAAACCAAAAATGCTGGCTTCCGTCCTAGCCAGGCAGGCGGGAGGCCAAAAGCACACACTAACTGCAGAACCGAAGAAGCAAAGGGGTCCGAGCGAAGCTAGAGGCTCGACAAAAAACAGATCTCATGGCATGGCCTCGCTGATCTTTGGAGCAGTTGATGCTCCCCGAAGCACCTAAGGCGCGAATCGACGTGGCGCCCTCACCTTCACAGCGACGGAGTATCAGCGACATCGGTAGGCAGGACTTCTAGAGCACCACTTGAGAGTGCAGGGGCTGAGTCTGGACGGCTGGGTTCCAGCCTGATACAACATCGCCACGAGGTTCCTCATGGATCAGCTTGTCCAGTTCGTGCTTCGAGACTTCCGGTCTATTTGAGGTCCCCAAAGCTACAGGGACCCTCCGACCTCAGAAATTCCAAAATAGTCCCTGCGTAGAGAAAACCTTGCACCTGTTGCACCAGGCCAGCAACCACGCATTTGCGCACACTGGCGCATTTCCGTGATGCCCTTCTCGCCACGGGCATTCGGATTGCCACAGGCCAGAAGTTTGTGCGCAGTGACAGTCGAAAATCCCGCTTGAGAACGCAGAGAATCGTGGCTGCGCCGGTTCTGTATGGGGTCATGAGTTCTCAGAGGTTTCGAAGGAATGGCCATGCAAGACATCTTGCAGTAACCCGACTAAGTTCCCTTCTGCCTACACTGGGAGGTCGGCATGACACCTGGCGACGTCGATATCATCTAAACAGCTCAGAGTCCTGAGATCGATGACCCCCTAAACCCTAAGCCCCTAA